GTCAGTCCATGCAAAATGGTTAGGTTCAACTATGCCACACTTATAAACAATGCTAAAAACTAAACACGTCTATAGAGGCTCCACATTAACTGGTTTTAGCAAAAGAACCTCAGGATAAAAAAGTTACAAGACACACAAGTTCAAACCGGAGAGACGTGATGTAAGAATTACATATTTATTGTTTACACGTCATATGAATGAAATGATTGCCATGATAATACAACAGGAGAATGTAATGGTGTTTGGCGATTAGGCCCCGGTTTGCAGGATAATCATTCAGGAGGGAAAGCACCGCTCCGATGAAATCCCCGGGGTCTAGACACTGGTGGTGGTGATGAGTAGGTGAGACCGGTCTGAAGGAGGAAGGTTTAGCTTTGTCCTGAAGGAGACAGGAGGCGAGAGGGGTGGAGGCGGGTTGCGTGTGATCATCTGCAATGACAACTGACAGGGAGGAAGAGCAGGCATTTAAGGCATTTAGCATGTGCAGCGATTGGCTGCTGAGGGGTGACGCCCTCGTATTTAATGAGGGGGGAAGGGAGCCATAGAGTGACGTGTGAGTGACTCGAGTTAGGTCTTCCTTATTGAACTTGCGCTAAAGCTTTCATTTCAAACCGGAGAGACGTGATGTAAGAATTACATATTTATTGTTTACACGTCATATGAATGAAATGATTGCCATGATAATACAACAGGAGAATGTAATGGTGTTTGGTGATTAGGCCCCGGTTTGCAGGATAATCATTCAGGAGGGAAAGCACCGCTCCGATGAAATCCCCAAAACCAGTGAAGTATGAATACTGAGATGAACTGAGTTGCTTACCTTGTGGGGTGACTGGTGATCTGGGAAGGAGAGATAATAGATTAACACGTATATGAGCGACACTGTGCCGGAATCACTGCCGGAGCTTACTGGTCATGCTGAGACTCTGACTGCCGAAATCAGTGCCGGTCTTACCTGAAAACGACCTGCGGGTCGCATGCCTGGCCAGCAGGGCTTGACTACGCCGAGGAGCGAGCGGTTTCGTTTTGTAACGGTAGCCTTCCGCTACGACACCGAAGTGTACGGTGGCCTTCCGCCACGCCTGACTTCGCAGGCTATATATATATATATATATATATATATCTTTACTCTTTCTTTCTCTTTCCTTTGTTTTGTAACTGACACCGAAGTGTACGGTGGCCTTCCGCCACGCCTGACTTCACAGGCTATATATATATATATATATATCCTTTTCTTACTCTTCATTTCTTTTTCCTTTGTTTTGTAACTGACACCGAAGTGTACGGTGGCCTTCCGCCACGCCTGACTTCACAGGCTATATATATATATATATATATATATATATATCCTTTTCTTACTCTTCATTTCTTTTTCCTTTGTTTTGTAACTGACACCGAAGTGTACGGTGGCCTTCCGCCACGCCTGACTTCGCAGGCTATATATATATATATATTTTTTTTTTTCTTACTCTTCATTTCTTTTTCCTTTGTTTTGTAACTGACACCGAAGTGTACGGTGGCCTTCCGCCACGCCTGACTTCGCAGGCTATATATATATATATATATATATATATATATATATATATCTTTTTCTTTACTTCCTTTGTTTTGTAACTGACACCGGAGTGTACGGTGGCCCGAGTCCACGCGGACTGCAGGAAATACATTTTACACTGATACGTTTGAGCAAGGCCTGGGAATGAAATACCTGTGTGCCGGAGATGAAGCCCGTTACATGTGGTTGCAGCGTGAGACGAGACATTATTCCCTGTGGGCGGGGCCCGCGGAATTAGGACAGGAATGCAGTTTTGAATATCGGGAACCTTAGTGAGACATGTATACTTGTGAATGTGTTTGAGCCACCACCAGTTATATGTATAACTACCATACACTCAAAAAAATAATTAAGCCAAAAGCGTTGACTTTAAGTGTTTTAATTACATGTACATTTTCCATTCAATTTTATCATGTAAGTTTAATGTAAATACTCACTTCAATGCTAAGTTTTTCCATTACGTTGACTTGGTGTGAAATAATTAAGTAACTTTTAGATCGGATTAATAGAATTAATGCCAACTTTTACATAAAATGTATGTATTGATTCACTTACTGCACATAAAGGTTAAGGGATGTTTTAAATAAACCTAATGTGTTGATTCACTTATTGCACATAAAGGTTAAGGGATGTTTTAAATAAACCTAATGTGTTGATTCACTTACTGCACATAAAGGTTAAGGGATGTTTTAAATAAACCTAATGTGTTGATTCACTTATTGCACATAAAGGTTAAGGGATGTTTTAAATAAACCTAATGTGTTGATTCACTTACTGCACATAAAGGTTAAGGGATGTTTTAAATAAACCTAATGTGTTGATTCACTTACTGCACATAAAGGTTAAGGGATGTTTTAAATAAACCTAATGTGTTGATTCACTTACTGCACATAAAGGTTAAGGGATGTTTTAAATAAACCTAATGTGTTGATTCACTTACTGCACATAAAGGTTAAGGGATGTTTTAAATAAACCTAATGTATTGATTCACTTACTGCACATAAAGGTTAAGGGATGTTTTAAATAAACCTAATGTGTTGATTCACTTACTGCACATAAAGGTTAAGGGATGTTTTAAATAAACCTAATGTGTTGATTCACTTACTGCACATAAAGGTTAAGGGATGTTTTAAATAAACCTAATGTGTTGATTCACTTATTGCACATAAAGGTTAAGGGATGTTTTAAATAAACCTAATGTGTTGATTCACTTATTGCACATAAAGGTTAAGGGATGTTTTAAATAAACCTAATGTGTTGATTCACTTACTGCACATAAAGGTTAAGGGATGTTTTAAATAAACCTAATGTGTTGATTCACTTACTGCACATAAAGGTTAAGGGATGTTTTAAATAAACCTAATGTGTTGATTCACTTATTGCACATAAAGGTTAAGGGATGTTTTAAATAAACCTAATGTGTTGATTCACTTATTGCACATAAAGGTTAAGGGATGTTTTAAATAAACCTAATGTGTTGATTCACTTACTGCACATAAAGGTTAAGGGATGTTTTAAATAAACCTAATGTGTTGATTCACTTACTGCACATAAAGGTTAAGGGATGTTTTAAATAAACCTAATGTGTTGATTCACTTACTGCACATACAGGTTAAGGGATGTTTTTAAATGCTTTTCATATGCATCATTGTGCAACTAAATCATATATGCACATACAAGAATAGTTTTCCAAGGTTTAATTCACAATGGAACTTTTTCAACATCTGCTCACATCCTTTCATCATCAAATCTGTCAATTTGTCACATTTCCAGATTGACCAAACATTCATTACTTTGAGCTCAAACTATGATGGTATTTTCTTCAACCTAGTGCTGTTCACTAAACTTTAAACCACAAATATTTCACAATGTTTTCACAACCACATTGCAAACACTGAACAGTCAGCTTTGTATTCACTAGTGCTGTAGCGACGCGTCGACGTCGTCAACGGGTCGACTTCAAAATATCGTCGACGACATATTTCCGCGTCGACGCGTCGCCACCATAGACTGTATGACGCCACACACACGTGGGTCACCCAAAGCAACAAGCAGTTCGCAATCGCACTTCTAACACAATGGAGACTGAAACGGCTACCAACTCCTCCTCACAGGATTGCGCACGAAGCCCTCAAACGAAAACATCTCGCCCCAGGTCTTCAAAAGCATGGGAATATTTTAAAGTTAGTCCAAAACGCAAAGATATTTATATCTCACTGAGACTGCTGCTTGACCGGAAGCAGCAGCTAGCTGTGGTGGCAACCATTAGCAGCTAGCATTTGCTCTCCGATTTAAAATGGAATTATGGATTATAAATTCAATAATTTGTTTATACATAGACGTTAAAAACCTATGGATTAACCGATTCAGCCGCGTTTTTTCTCATTTGAATGCCATTGAACACGTATTTTGATCAGATTGACAGCTACGGCGGTGAGACGATCTCCCTAGAAGCTCTGTGAAGGTACGTGTTGTGATGACTATTTGCTTCCCCTGTCGCGAGTCCGGATCACTCAGTGATGATACTATGTACCTACATAATCTGTGGAGTCTCAGCTTTAATCGGATATCTTGTATGTGCAGCTACGATAAGTAATAAGGGTACTTTTATCTTGAGATCTGTGCCAATGTCCGTTAGCATTTTTCGCTCAGGGGTCATTTAGATGCTTCTTATGAGACTTGTGTTTTGTTTTGGTAAACATGGTTTGTATCGTCAGTTAGCTGAGATTATTTCCGTTAATCTGGTATAACACATTAATAGGTTCTTAAATATTAAGATCCCCTGAGACACAGTATCGTGAACAATTTTTTTTTTTACATTACGTTTTTTATGAATTGAACAACAGAAAAATAATCGTTCGATTAGTCGACTAATCGATCAAATAATCGCCCGATTAATCGTTTTCAAAATAATCGTTTCCCCCCAGCACTAGTATTCACAGCATGAGTACTTTTTTCACAGTTAAGAAAATATAATGGTCTGGAATAAACAGGAGGCAACTGCAGTCCCCTTTGTAACCCATTAAGCTACCTTGAGCTGCTCCATTCCTGACGCTTTCAGAAAGCGTTGGAATCAAATTCAAGTGCAACATTTTTCAATATGGAGTGGTGCAGTGATGATGTATTTTTGTAGGCCGACCCTGAAGTAAGCTGCGCAAGGGTTCCCTCGACCAAAAAAAGCAATGGGATTTCTCTGTGGGTCTGTGGAAAACGAACCCGTTTGATAAATGCACATTTTGTTCAGCCGGATAATCTCCACGTCTACCTACTTTTCTAATTTGTATTATTATAATTGTAATTATTATAAAAGTAGGTAGACGTGGAGATTATCCGGCTGAACAAAATGTGCATTTATCAAACGGGTTCGTTTTCCACAGACCCACAGAGAAATCCCATTGCTTTTTTGTCGAGGGAACCCTTGCGCAGCTTACTTCAGGGTCGGCCTACAAAAATACATCTTCACTGCACCACTCTATTAGGTATTAACACAGAAATGTTAAAATTCAACACCTTGCAACTTTTAAGAACATCACAATTGTCCATTGTAAACATTTTCAGACTAACTTTCACAGAGGAATCTTACTTGGCATTGTAGCATTTTAAGTGGTGAAAAGAAATGTTAAAATTCAACACCTTGCAACTTTTAAGAACATCACAATTGTCCATTGTAAACATTTTCAGACTGACTTTCACAGAGGAATCTCACTTGGCATTGTAGCTTTTTAAGTGGCGAGTCCATGAGATGTTTATGGCGATAAAAAAAAAAAGGGATCTCCATCGCTCGTTCTCATCTATTGCAACAAAAGATTATGCAATCTCATCGAAAAATGTACATGTCAAAGAACAGTTTTCTCCACCAAAATGGTCCATTAAAGTTCAAACCGAATGAATGTGCCAAAAAATAACTGTCCCAGAGTTCAATATTTCCTACTTGAACCGCCTTAAGTAGTATGTAGTCATCAAACGTATATTGTCCAACAAGAAAAATTCTTGTCACAGCTTGATTGTCCAGCCCTGAAATGATGGGCTCACTGAAGCATCTTGATTTTAAGGCTTTGGACCTTTGGTGACAGCTTGTTGCCATCCAAGTTCATCAACACTTTCTGTAAAAACTCAAAAGTGAACTTGAGTTCCGGTGGATAGCTCAAGTTGAGAGTGTAAATCAACCCAAAAAGCATGGCCCATCCTAACGAAATACTTCGCAGATTGGATAGCAGTTCCACACCTTCGATGATCACACCGACATCCTCTGGCCCGTCCTCTTCCTGAGCGCCCTCATTGCGGATCACATAAAGTCCCATGGTAGTCTGTGGGATTGCACTCTCGGCTTCCTCACTCCTGACATTCTAAAAAAAGGTGGAAAACAAGATGACTATTTTGAAAAAGTAGACATAGACTCTTTAAAAGGTTCAGTGCGTAATATCGGAGATAGCAAAGCTCCCTTACTCCACCCTCCCTTTGGAAAAATGTTCAGAAAGTATGGTGGCCTTCAAGGACAGTAATTTAGTAACTGAAGATGGCATCATCCACCACTGCCTCAAGCCTTTCAGTATCAAGTGTGCTGAAGATGGACTTGGTTATTTATCTATAGTACTATATGTTATAGCTCAATAACTAAGGCTTTTCTAGCAGGCACCTACTATGTATAAAAACGTGTATGGCCATTAAGTTTGTCCATTCTGTGCTAGTGTAGAATCATTGCGGCACGTACCCGCTCCTATGTAGACAACAAAAATGATCATTCTAGGGTAATACAAATAACAAACTTATATTTAAGCCATTATACTCTTAACACATTGTTATGTACCTTTAATACAAAAACGTTACAGTCAAATTACTTACCAGGTACTCCTTGATGAGACTGTTGCTGTCCTCCTTCAGGTAGGCACACAGACTTTTCAGGACAGAGTCTCTTTTGAGCTCAATGTCCTCACTCTATAAAAACAAGACATATTCAATATTTCAAGACTTTGCACAAAAAATGTATGCACAAGTATATTATTTATTGTTAATGTAAAAAACATGCGAGAAGAAGGTTGACACATGTAAGTCTGATCAAAATACATGTGCTTTAAACTCAAATGTAGTTTTTAATATCAGAATGTTGTTACATTTATTCATATCATATATAAACCGCTTGGTATGTGTGAAAAATTAATTTAGCCTTTACAAAGGATCCTATAACCACCCACATACGATAGCAATTGAGTTTAGATACGACAAACAATTTATTAATGTAGATTGAACATACTGAATACTTTTAAACATCCAAATAGTTTTAAGAAAACTGACATGATTGGGATTTATTGTTAATGTGAAATCAATATTTTGTGTGCATTAGAAATATTTTCAATCTGAAAATACTTGGGACACCTTTCTCTCTAATCTTTCTACATTGAGCTTCCCTTTAATAGGACATACACATATTACTTGATTGTGTTGATCTATTTTTAAAACTATCATCTCAAGAAACCTTCATGTTGTGGTAAAAATAAGGACAACTTTTAAAATGAGCTGCACTTCAGATTGCTCTTCATTGGTGGTTAGTGGCAGTGCTAACCACAAACCTATATATTTTCAAGGATTTTTTAAAACTTGTTAAAACCAGTGTTGGATGGCAAAAATATGCTCATATGGCTAAATAATGTAAGGATGTAATGCACAATGCACTTACCCTAGCTGTCGGTGCCATGAGAAGCCGGATCTTCCTTCCAGCATCTCCTCCTCTATTGTGGAAGACCTTCAGTAGGTTAGGCGAGTATCTGTCAAGCTCTGCCAGGAACTTGGCTTGGAGTGGCAAAGTTGTGATTCGCATGAATTCTGCATTTATCTGAGACAAACAATTAAATAAACGTCATGTTCTTCAATTATACTTGCACTAAACAGTGTGAGTAAGCTCTACATCAGCAGAGCAATATTAATATCAAAATATCATTATTAACAATACTCACTTCACTCACTGTAAACAAGGCAGGCCACTTGTTTACAAGTTCAGCCACCACAGGAGCATCCTGGACAATCTCTTGGCGTCTGTAGGCGAAGGTCTTCTGCATCTTCTTTTTGACTACAGCGTCGTTGTTTCTCTTTTTCACCTCGGTCAGGAGCACTACCCTTTCTTTCTCAAGACTGTCTCTTGTTTCACCACTAGGGAGTGGTGGGAGGAAGTTAACTTCTGCCTTTCTTGGCTTTTTGATATTTGCAGCTGCTTGTTCTTGTCCTTTGCGCTTGTTCTTGAGAGAGTTTACACTGACCTCAGGGTGTCCAATCTTGTTTAGTTTTGTGCGGAAATTGGCAACCTTTGTTTTTAGATACTGCTTCCATCCCTCATGGCCAGCACGAGTTCCTCTCTCCTTCAAGCATGGATGGGTATGCACAAGGACAGTAGCAGCCTCTTCAATTTGGGAATCACTGGGATATGCTGTGCATTTGAATATTTCTTCAGCCATGCCTTCAAGGATATCCATTCGCAGTTTAGGAGAAGGGGTAAGAAGAGTGCCATTTGCTCTGAAATCAGCAGTTGCTCTTTGGAGCTGAAATTCAGCAAAATATGAAAAGCGGGGAACAAAGAAGATTGGTGGCCAGGAGGAGGTTCTTGTCTCTGGAGCTGGATCTAGAATGACAGCGTCTCCACTGTCAAATGAGTGCTGAGAAGACAAGCCGTCTTCATCAGGGGATGTAGTACGAAGGGCATTTACAGAGGTTAGGGTTAGGATCACAGAGCTGTTGCATGTCATGGGTGAAGTTAATGGTGTGCTGGTGCTGCAAGGTAGTGATGTCTCTGGAATGCTGGAGCTAGTTTCTTCACATGAAACAAATACCACTTTTACAGTAGCCTTGTCTTCAATGTCACTGATTGACTCAAGATTAAAATACTCATTTCCAAAGTCGAGATCCTTGTATTGGAGCCTGAACTGTTGTTCAAGTCCAAAATAGGTCTTTATCTCAAGGACAAGTTGATCCACAGATGATGGCATTCCTGACTTGAGGGTAAGTTTTCTTGCGTCATCTACACCAAGAACAACTCGCAGGTGGACAGGACATGACATCTTTCCCCTCAATGTATTCTAGGAAACAAATACAGGGAAACAAAGTTAGGACAAGTACTAAACCATCACTAAATATTAACTTGTAACATTTACGTAATTAATTGTTATTTTATGCTTGTGTTGTGCTTACACAGGAATAGCTGTAATGGCATGGAATAGTGATTGTTACTTCTTTATATGCGCATGTGCTCATGTTTTAAGCTTACATGTCGTGTTTTTGTATGCTTTCTAATGTTTTCTCAAATGCAATCATCCTGCTAGAGACTGCAGGTGAAATTTGGCACATATGGCTAAATCTGGCACCTTTACATGATGGACGTTGTTCATGTTAATGTGCATTGTCCCTTTTAAATAAAGAAATATCTACAGAGTATTCAGCTTTCATTCACAGCTGTTTAAGTCACATTCAGACCAACCTTAAACAATGATATGCCTTTTCAGGGTAACCATTCGCCTTACACCGACAGTGTAGTCACAGAGTGGATAAGCATCGAGCAGCTGTTCAACATCAACGAGGGCAACCTCACTATTCGGAGATATGGTCAACTCATACGCTCTGAAGTGCTCGTGATACCATGCACACAATACCCTTACAACAAAGCTCACACTGTTTTCAACAATGCATATTTGAATTATTTCAGCAAAATCAGGCAGACCACCAGTTGAGCCATAAGGAATGAGCATGCCAACTCTGTAGGAGATTCCTTTAAGGGTTGCGTGCTTTGCAAAATGTACTTCGTTAATAGTGGGGTATTTTTGCCTGAGGTGTAACACTACTTTCTGGTTCAGTACATCCACAGGAAGCATGGAAACATTTGAAACTTCCAATGTTGATTTAAGGTGGGATGCAGTGATATGATATGCAATCATTTGCTGATGTTTGAATGCCAATGTGAGTGGTACATTCTTGAAGCAATTTGTGTGATGAGCAACTTGCTTGAAGAAACTGTGCTTTGCCTCAAACCTCATGGTCCATTGCCCAACTAAAGGTCCAAAACGTTCAATCATTTGAGGATAATGCTCAATATAGTGATGTTTTGGTAACAGTTTTGTAGGGAAAAGCTCCAAAAATCTATCTCTGTGTTCTACGATTTTACAGTCCAAGTAGGCAATAGTTTCTTGATTATGAAGAGGGGCGACAGAGAGTTCAACAATTTCTTTTAAATCAAGCAAAACATGCCAAGCAGGCTCTGCCTCTGGTATCAAGTCTCCAATAATAAATGGCAACAACCTCAACAGATTCCAATTTTCGTGGGCGTTTCCTCCAATGGTCTTGGAAGCGGCAAAAGTGCGCGGTATGGTATGAGGTTTGTTAGTTCTGTCCCCCCACTTGTATGGAAAGCTCAGGATAAGCTCATTTAAAGTGTTAAGAGATAGATATTTCTTGGAAATAAACAAACCAATGCAAAGGGCAATCTCAACTGGAACAACACCCTCAAATAAGTCGTGTGCAATGTCAGGAGGGTAGCCCCGAGTAACGTGACAGTAAGATAATCTTTTTGTAAAAACACACTCTCTCTTTACCCCACAACAGATGGTGGCATTCTCTCTTGCAAATGTAATGTGCTTGTGATGCAAGTCTTTTGTACGATTTTCAAAATAACCTGACTGAACCGTTTTAGTCTGAATGTCTGCTCTTGTACCTGTACAAAATCTGCAGAAGTAGACACCAGAAAAGCATTCAATGAACCCTGCTATCCCGTGGGCTCCTAGGTTGTCTGCAATGACCGACTGGACAGTGCCTTTCACAGACGCTCCAAGACCTGAAATAAAAACACCATGTGTCTCTAGAATGACCAAGTCTTGTAAAAGGGGATCTAAAATGTGTTCATATCCGTACTCTTTCACATCAATAGTCTTGCATAATACAGCTAAGTAGATGGAAGAAAGAGCTGAGTGAGATCCAGGTGGTAAATTATTCAAAATCCAATACACACCACAAAGTTTATGAGTTTTTCTGGATGTACCTATGGGGTTGCACACCTCAAAGTCATCAACATATAGTGATAATGATAATTTCAAATCCTCCCCAGTAAAAAGGCCATTTTCTTTTGAGTAAATTCCATCTCTTATCGACTTATACTGCCCTAAACATTGTGTACTTTTCTGTGTCTCGTGTGTGTGAATTACACTTTTTAGTATGTCACTGTTACTTAACAGATGCTGCAAAGAACGCAATATAGGAATATACTGATATGTTCTTTTACTCTTAGGATCAAGGATGTACTCAACTGGATTTACCACACTGAAATATTCTTTGTAATACTTTTTTCTTTTGAAAGATGTAGCGAGGGGGCCGTCTTTTGCAAAGGCTTTGGTCAAGGGATTAGATTTACACACTTCTTGAGCAAGCTCTTTGACAATGGACTCATCAATTTCAACACAGTGGTTTTTAAAAATGTCCGATAGGCCGTTAAAGGTTATTGGAACAGATGAGAAGCTTAACAAAAAGTGTAATTCCTGCAGTAATTCGTCAATTGCAGTTGCCGGTACAAACAAAATGTGTTCTAATTTCAGTAAAACAGAGGCAATTTTCTGCTCAATAACCTTGGGTAGATCTTCAGTATCAAAACAACCATGTGCATCTATACAAGTATCAGATTCTACATCTGCATCTGCAGCACCATCAATAACAGTATTGTCAGATTCAATTAATCCAACAACTACAGTAACAACCTCAGCTTTGAAATCACTTAAAATATGGGGATTATGTTTCCTGTATTTATGAGTATGAAATGTATTGTAGATGTTAGTTTTAAAAACACAATCTTTAAACATGCATGTTACAGTTTCATTTCTCCGTAGATGTTCATTTACATGACTGAAATAAGCTTGTTCATTTGAAAGCTCAGGACAAGCACACAACTGACATGAAAATGTAGACAACTCAGATGGCTTTGGAGATGTTTGGGTTTTATGACTACGGTATATATGACTCAAAAGACTGTTCCACAATCTAAATGTGCAGGGGCAATTAGTGTATGGGCAAGGATGCCGGAACCTGTTCCCATGATGTTTTAATTTGCCATGTTTAAGCAGCTCGTATCTACTTGCTACAGACTTTCCACACACCTTACATTGCCACACGCCCATTCACATATTACACCTAAAAAAAAATTAAAAAAATACAAGTTTAAAAAACTTCTCAATGCTATGAAGTATAATAAATGAAATTATTGCATCACGTTCAAATTACTTACCTATATAGAGGTTGCCCATCCACAATGTTGATTTAGCTCCTAGATCTATAACAAAAATAGCACACGGTTAGTTTCCAAAGGTGAGGAATAAGCTATTCCTTGGCATTGTAGAACAATGCAGCAAACTAGCCAGATATTGAAATATTATGTAAATAAATAAGGCCTCTGCTGGATGTCTGTGATGTAGAGCAGCAGCTTGATTTTAAAATGATGCTACTTGGTAGAAAATGTCGGTTTTTAATCACTAATTAATTAGTATTATGTCATATTTGATTATTCACACCAACCCTAGTATGGAGGACAACAACATGACAAACATCAATAAATCAATCAAATAATCACTAAATGAAATGCATGCTCAAATAACTATAAGAGGGAATAGGGAAATAATTAATAGTATAAATAATTGCAGCAGTAAATAAATACTTGAGAGAATGAAGACAAATTGGAAGAAAAATAATAAATACTAAATGAATAGTAAAATAAAGCATAAATACATGAGTAATTCATGAATATATACATAAATCAAGTACATAAATGCATGAATAGAAGTTGGTAAATTAAGAGGGCTCCAATATGTCTTACATTTATTTATTTTCATCCATGTATTTATGCATTTCTTTTTTCTTTCCTATCCTAACTCTACTCTCTTTCTGTCTGGCTCGAGCTACAGCTATAGCTAAGCCTTATGTCATGACGAAGAGTGGAGTTGATATAAGAAAGTATTAGATAGTGTTAGCTAAAAATACGACACGAAAAGAACTCCAATGTAACTTGAATTACTAATGGCGCGTTTCCACTTCAGGCCTCGCTCGGTTTGGTTAGGCCTTATTAGCACGCTTAAAGCGAGCTACCCGCTGCAGTGGAAACGCGCCATTACTCTCACGAATTCCCGGGTGTATCTGTGCTGCGATCACCGCATTGAGACAGACCGGAAGTACGGTGGCTAAGGCTAAGCTACTACTGTAATTATTGACGCAACCTAAGCGACAGAAACATACATAGCCCTCCTAATAGGGCATTCGGGCTTATGTTTGGAGGGCAACAAAGCACAAACTGTGCTGCTGGCTCTGGTTCATGCTTAGTACAAGCAGCACCCAACTAGCTAGGCCTCGTTTCGCTAGCTAGGCCTCGTTTCGCTAGCTAGCCAGCCAGCCAGCATTGTGGCGCGAAACTAACTGCACGACGAATATACACATGCAGACAATTCTATTCGTATAGCATAAACACGTTAAAATAACTGTTCATCTTCAATAACGTATGGTTAAGCAGCGGAATATTAAACAATTAGACTTACCTAAAGTCCGTCGATCGACGGTGTAGGTTGAAACCAAACGCCAAGTCAAGCGGGTAGCACATAGAAAACACCAAGTCTACGTCCAGTGTGAACAATCAACGTCATGCGCGTTACCTCCCTTCAGGGTCTGCCTCCCCTTTATGGGATTTAATAGAATAAACTGTACTAATTGTCTTACATTCCGTTTATATTCAACATATTCACGTTGTGTTTAATTGCTTGAACAAATCCACTTTATATTTGACAGATTTCAGTTATATTATATCTGAAAATATTGCTTCATATTTATGTGGACCAAGAATCAGTTTTTTGAGTGTAGTTAGGGTCTGAGAGATCTTTGGGAAGCCCGTACGGCGCTGATGTCCGGACGAATGAAGGTTGTGAAGGCGGAGGAGGACCACCGTCCTAGTTGTTGTAGGGATGAGGTAGAGAGACCTTGATTAGCAGCAGAGGTGGCTGCACCTATCCTGAAGGAATGCCCCGGCTATGATATGGGTGATAGGCTGGATTTAGTGAGAACTTGCTTGAGGTAGAAATTGACGGGGCCATGACCCTGCGAACCACTCTCCCTGGAAGAAACCCCCCAAAACCCATGGATGGGCGGCATCCGTGAAGACCTCATTGAGTCAGAGGAACGCACGAGGCCATCGTAAAATAAAGTAATTCCGTTCCAGTGGGCGAGCAGGAGGGACCAGAACCGAAGGTCTGAGCGGCAGCCTTCGTCTAAGAAAACGCAGTCATGGAGGTTGTCGACCGCTGATGCTGCGTCCAGGAGGCGGGAGATGAACGAGCGCCCCTGGGGGATGACGTGCATGGCGAAGTTGAGGTGTACGAGAAGGGAGAGCGACTGTTGTTTTGTGATAACTTGTTGCTCGCAGTATGACTTGGTGATGTCCTGGATGCGCTGCGATTTGTCTGAGGGGAGAGACGCCTTCATGTCTATGGAGTCGAGGATGATGCCTAAGAACTCTAAGCGTGTGACGGGACCTAACGTTTTTCTCTTTGGAGAGAGGGACACCTCACTCCTGAAGCAGTGTTTAAGCTTGGCCAGTGAGATCCCTGAGCTGTCCTGTGCGGGTTTATGGGGAGGAAGTCGTCCGGTAGGTGAAGGACGGAGGGGATTCTGACGATGTTCAGCAGGATCCAATAGAGCGCTTCCGAGAAGGAATTGAAGATACAGGGGCTGCTTCTGCACCCGAAGGTCAGGCGAACGCAAAGATAGAGTTTGGACTCCCACTTAATACCGAACAAGTTCCACTGAGACGGATGAATGGGGATGATTTGAAGGCATCGGTAATGTCCGCTTTGGAGAGCCGAGCTCCGTGCCCTGTGAACTTGATCATCTTTATTGCATTATCCACTGAGGCATGGTGAAGGGAGAACTGATCTGGAGGGATGATGCTATTGACGCTGCAGAATGGGCCGGAGCAGGGAGCGGACAGATCGAAAATCAGCCTTTTATTTACGTGTGGCTATTCCGATGGGATTTGAACGGAACACTGAGAAGGGGGAGGAGCTAAAAGGACCGATTATATATCCTTTGAGAAGTTCTTTGTCGATGAGCTGGGAAACTATGTTGGGTTCTTTAGCGGCTGACTGTAAGTTTCTTGCTACGAAAGTCACTGTGGGAGATGGGAGGACCCCTACCCTGAAGCCTTGGGAGAGCCCTGACGGGAGATAGTCAACAAACACGGAATCTGTAGATAGCGCAGCTGCTAGCTGAGGGATGTTAATGGGAGTGGAGGGGTGATATTCCAGAATGTTTTTAGTTATTTATTTATTTGTTGATGTTTCTGGCGCAGAGCCACTGTGACGGCCCGTCCACACGGTGGCGTGCGTTACAGCTTCCAGACGCTTCTGCCCATTCACTTTGAATGGGGTGACGTCACTTTTAGTATAACTGTATTTTGGGAAGCGACGTGGAGCGTTTGCTGGCGTTGCTCGCTTCAAAAAGTTGAGCAATGTTCAACTTTTGGCGCCTCGGCAGAAGCGTCAGCCAATGAAATCCCGTTTATGCAAATCTGCCGGTACAAGCGCTAGCCAATCAGACCGCGTGTATGTTGGGAGAGACTACGCAGGTAATTCCTCATATTCCAAAAATGTGAGGGAAAATTCATTATGGCGGTAGTGAATCACCCGGTGCTGTATGATCAGTCTCTGTTCATCTACCGGGATACAAACCAGAGGAGCGAGGCATGGAGGGAGGAGGCAGAGACAGTGGGTGAAACTGGTAGGTTTTCGCCTGTTGGGGATTTTTTTTTAAAATTTTTTTTCCAGTTTACTTAGTTTTAACATTGCTATTGCTTTGTGTGTCGGGGGCAAGAGATTCATGTGATTGGTTGTTGCTGCTGTGCGGACCAGTAGCGTAGGCAGAAATGTACTTTAGGGTGGGCCTGTAAAAATATAGGGTGGGCCAGATTTTTCTTCTGCGCATCGGAAACTAACCACGATCCCGCCGGTACCGGTGGCAGATTACTTTTAGAATACTTCCTTTCCTCTTCTTTTTCTTCCTCCCTCCTCTTCTTTTTATCTTTTCTCCTTTTCCTCTTCTTTCTATCTTTTCCTCTTTCTCTTTAGAATACTTTCTTTTCCATAACAGATGGGTATGTTTTGGTGAACGGGAGACACGTATTTTACTGTTTTAATGGCTTATGAAGAGCACGAACACAACATTTTAGTGTCATTCTTGACAGCTCTCTCATCTGCACCGCACATAAAAAGAAAAACTCACCCAGACTACATTATTTGTACTGTCTTAAAACCTTTCCTTGGAAAAGTGTATGCATTGTAAGGTGTCCTTGGGTGCTTTGAAAGGCGCCCCTAAATAGAATACATTATCATTATTATTTATTATCTGAAACGATGTAATAACTTTTAAAACTTTTCCCAGTTACTTGCCCATGCATTCGGCAGCAGCAGGCCATTCAGTTAGATTTGATCCCGTTATGAATGTCATCATTTCGACAATAAATAAATGCTACATAAACGTTATCTTCCACGTTGTATCTAAACATCTCCGTTTCTACCTTCCAATATGTTTTGAAAGAGAACTCTCTCTCTCTCTCTCTCTCTCATCTGCGTGCGGGGCGGGGCCTCACGGACACGCTGCATCTCTCGCTCGCAGATACGCTGCAGCGCTGTGCACACGGTTCTGCCGGTAATGAATATTACATTGTGAGGAAACTTTCCACCAATAATTCCAATAAGTATTCACTTCAGGTTTACGAAAGTAACTGCACTCAGTTTACTCGTTTTTCAAATGTAACGCCAGCTGAATATACTGATTTTGTTCCCTTTTTTTCCCGATTACGTAACACCGTTACATGTATTCCGTTACGACCCAACCCTGTGTAAGGGTCGAGTGCAAACGTTTTCGTTAAAACTAGTACCTGAGTGCAACGGAAGTTGAAGCTCCTGTGGCGGAGTCTTCCAGAGCCTGGAGGCGAGCATCGATAGCTATCATGGAGCTAGCCAGGGATTGCAGGGAGCCGGCCGCGCTACTCTCCATAGGGGTGTGTGACGCTCCCGGACTGGAGAGCCTGAGAAGGGGTGGATTTTTTTGGAGGGGGACGGGATCCTGGAGGGCTCGACTTCCTGCCCTTTTTTACCTCCGCGGCTGCGGCCTCGTCCTGCTCTCTGGGAAGCTGGCTGGAGCTGCTGCCCCGGACTGGGGAGCTACGCTGGAGACCTGGTCCGAGAGCTATCGCCGCTGAGAGAGAGTGAGGCCTGGGGCTGTGGGAAAGCCCTGCTGCAGGAGCCGGGCGATGAGGAAGTCTTCCTCTGTTGATAAGCCGCTGTGGGGAGCCGAACCGGGATCGGAGACTTCCAGAGAAGGTTCGTGTTCCGAATTGTCCGAGTTGGACATCTTGAGCTAGTTGTTTCTTACGGTTTTTCTCACGAAAAGCAGTATTGTATTGCAACTACCATTGCGTGTGATCATCTGCAATGACAACTGACAGGGAGGAAGAGCAGGCATTTAAGGCATTTAGCATGTGCAGCGATTGGCTGCTGAGGGGTGACGCCCTCGTATTTAATGAGGGGGGAAGGGAGCCATAGAGTGACGTGTGAGTTACTCGAGTTAGGTCTTCCTTATTGAACTTGCGCTAAAGCTTTCATTAAAACACAGGTTCTCCTATTTCTTCAGTAAACCGTGACTTGTATTGAAAGTGACCGCTTTCCAGAGACCAGAGCTTCATTATAGAGTTTGGGAGTAGTGTAGCAGAATGGATGCCCCAGACCATTCTGTGACACTAGGAGAGTGGACATTTAAAACCGTGGTCTGGAGAATGACAGGGGTTATGTCAAAAACTGTGAATAATGTGCCATTGCAAGAGCAGGCGTAGACCCTAGGCTTATGAGGCAACAGAAACAGAAACAAAGGGTATCACATCATCTATTACAAAAACTGCAATCTAAAGTATTATATTCTATTTTTGTGTGTTTTATTGTGTTGTTTTATTGCATTTACTTTTACTATATAAATTGTACAGCACTTTGGTCAACTGTTTTAAAATGTGCTTCATCAATACATTTGACATTGTCATTGACATAGTCTTTTCTATTCTGTTCACCCCAATGATTTTACAGAAAACTAAACCAAAGAAAGCGTATGAATAACTGTTGTGTGGTGGTAGCACTACACTCTAAAAACAAATGCCTTGGCTCAACAAAGAAAATCAATCAACAGTTTGCATCGATGTTTATTGAGTTAAGACAACTTCTAATGAAATTGTCTTAAAGCAACAAAGTTATTTAAGTTAGGGGAGAAGGCTTTCCCTCTACAGTCAGGTGTTTTTAATTACCACTTACAATAATTGGAGCATAAACACAAGTTTTGAAGTTGAGTACTCAAAAATGAAGTTGCTCCAACTTGTTTTACCGTATGATTTAAAAGGAATTGTAAGTTGTATGTACTTAATTACCATCATTGTGAACACACGTTTTTAAGTTGACAGCCATTTATAAATGAAGTTGCTCCAAATATATTTTATTCAATAGTTTTTTTCTTAGCTTTTTCATGTTTTTGCCTTTAAAGAAAGAAATGAATTGATTCCACAACAAAAGTATTAGGCAATTCACTTTTTATTTTGAACTGCAGTTGTTTATTTCAACACATGATGTTTCAATCAGGAGAGACTTCATTTAGTTGGAACATGTATTGACACATGCCATGATAAGGTGCATGAACACCTGAAATCACAGCTGACTGCAGGAGAGAGGAGAACCATTTTAAAGTCTGGCTGCAGCTTGCTGATTGGCTGCTGGAGAATGAGGTGAAATGTAATAGGTTAAAGAGAACGCCTGTGATGAGCTGATTATATGCAGCTGCGGAGTGAATGTATACACACCCAGTCTTCCTGAAAGAACTTGCACTGAGCTTCATTTCAATCTTGAAAAAAAGATAAATAACACATTTAAATTGCCCCACAAATAATAAAT